ACATCGGACCTTCCATTTTGTCCGCGCGAGACGAGGAGGAGAGAAACCCCAGACACCTAAGTGCCGAGGAGTAGCCCTGATTTGGAAGTCACAATCCCTACGCTTCTGCTCTTTGGCTAAACCACCCGGAACAGAGTATACAACCTGCTCGAGCCGCGATTTCCTCACAGCGGGTTTTATGACTAAACGATGCCTGGAAACGGATCCGGAGCGGGTGAGCTCTCAGAAACTGCCCGCTGGGGTAGCTGGCGGCCTCGTCCTGCCTCCTTTACCTGCGGAACAGCTGCAGGTGAACCACAGACGGTGCCACCTTCTCCACCACCTCCGCGATGAAGTTGTACTTGCTCCGGAGCCCGCCCGCACTCCTGGTCCCTGCGAAGAAATGCTCCATTCTTGGGGGCGGTGGGCGCCCCGCTGCTCGGCCGGACCCGGCGTCATATCCCAAATCCCCCGGGCTCTCGCCTCCTCCTCTCTCCTGTCCCTCCCTCTCCTGGGTGTATTCGCCGCCACCCCGCAAGGAGACGCCTTGAGGGAACCCGACCTGTCATCCCGGATGGAAAGAAAAAGAGAAAAGAAAAAAGGGAAGACGCCATTCAACAGGCCTGGGGAGGCAGGCGGGGAGAAGCCGCATGGGAACTGGTAAGGAGACACCTCGGGCGGAAAGAAAACTGGGAACGGGGCGTTGAATCGGGAAGCAAAGGCGGGAGGCCCGCGGCGAACCGCGCGACCGCGGCGAGCGGCTTTGGGGACTTGCGAGCCGTCCGAGCGCGCGGGTCCCCGCGCTCACCTCGACCTGCGCAGTCGCCCTTCAGCACCGGCAGGGCGGGCAGCGCGCCTCGGAGGCGCGCGGCGCGGTTGTCGGCGCGCAGCGCGCACAGGCTGGGGTAGGTGCGCCCGTCGCTGCCGCACACCGCCGCCCCCGCCGCCGGGCAGCCGCACGTGCCGACCCAGGCGCCGCGGAGGCGCGGGGCGCTGAGCGGCGCGCGACACTGCAGCCCCGGGGCGCACGGCAGGCCCAGCGCCCCGCCACAGGCCTCGCCCTCGGCCGCGGCGCAGACGCGGCAGCAGCGGCAGCGATCGAGCACCGGCGTCGACCCCGCCGAGCAGGAGGGCAGCGGGGGACAGCGCGTGGGCTCGCAGACCCTGGGACAGGGCAGCAAGGCCCTGGACCTCCTAGCCTCGACTCTGGGCACGGGCAGCAGGGGCAGCAGCAGCCACAGCAGGAGGAGTCGTCCTGGCACAGCTGGTCGCAACAGCGGTCTAGTCATCTTGCCCTCTTCCTTCTTCACTCTCCAGTTTACTTTGGACTCGCAACTGCTCTAAAATGAGCAACACTTTCTCCCGGTTAGGTGCCGCCTCCGTCACCCCCAGACTTTAAGGGGCAGAGCCTGGCAGACCTCTCCATACATACATACACACACACACACACACACACACACACACACACACACTCATCCCCTAGCACATGTCCCCGCCCCCGCCGCAAGGCCAGGTCCACCCCACGCAATGAAGAGAGGTCCCCAGCCCTGCCCTGTGCAGGGACCTACCTCGGGAAGTCCAGAAAACCAATAATGGGGCAGACTGACAGGAGAGATCACCCACCCACGGACAGAAGGTCAGCGTTAGGAAAACATACACCATATTTCAGTATTTCACATGGTTTTATTACAAAATAAGCAACAAAACAGTTTTAGAAAATTATTTTTTGCTACATACCAATTAGGAGATCACATAAAATGAGAAGCGTAACAGTTTCCATGCACTCAGCTCAGTGCTTACAGTGAGTGCATTTCACAGCTGAAACATACTGGTTCAAAACACAAAATCATGCCACACCTTCATAAGCAGTGGGGGGAGAGGTCAAACAATATATTTTTGCTAATATTAGCTTTATTCAAATTCTACTTAGCACAAGTGACTGTAACTGACTGCTGCAGGCAATAACAGAGAGAAAAAAAAGAGTACGAAAAAAAGTGATGGTGGTAGAAAAGATTTGCTAAACTGTCCATTTTTGACATGTTCAAAGTTTATAAACATAAACAAAGCACATTTGGGAAACTCAATTTCCAAAACAGTGTTACTGGTCAACAGTGAAAACAAACTTCAAATCCCACGCTCAACTCTATTTAGGTCCTTTTAGCCCGTATCAGAGCACAGCTGTTATATTCAGCAAGGAAAATAAACCTTTTGCTTCAAGTGAACTATAAAGCTGGACCTTCCCTCTGCTCTTTCTCACGTGAGTGAGCTCAGCATTCTACTCAGAAATAAACGTATAACCTCCGATATTTTGACCTGAGACTACTCTACACCTTAGTAGGTGTATGATGTCTCCCAGGATGCAAAAGGTCCAACAATGTTTCCGTACCACCAACAGATCTTGAGTAAGCAAATCCTTAAGTTCTCAAGAATAGGGGATGGTAAAGAGTTCAATTATTGGGAAAACCATCTGTAATACTGTTACACAAACTGAGTCAAGACCATTTCGAAAGTCTTAGGAAAACAGCACAACTCAGAGAAGGATTTTATTCCACAAAGAAAATGCAGTACCTTTTTGGTTCTTCCCCCCCCCCCCAAACTCAGATTTATTCCAAAACCTATACATTTAACTAGTAACCTATACTGCTTCTCTGCCCTACTTTTTCCATCTGGTTCCATACACATTTAAAGCCAAATGCTTTGACTATATATGCACTATCTTTGGCTCACATGCGCAGTGACATTAAAAAGTTGTGATGTGAAATTGGCCAGAAGGTAAGAAATATGGACACAAAAGGAATTCTGAAATAAGGTTTGGGAATGACAATCCTTACAGACTTCACTGAAGATAATTCTATTTATCTGGTATTGGAACTACATTAACAATGTTCCCATTTGGTATTCCCAAGTATTTGCCAACTAGAGTCCTTGTTTTCCCCCTCTTTCATAATAATAATATAATCTAGATTTATAAGCATGTTTAATTTAACACATCCTAAATAGACCCTACTGAAATAAGAAACATATAAGCTTACTATAATGGCCAATTAATTGAGCAGTAGTATTCTAGCAGAGAGTTTATTTAACAAAAGAGAAATGGGTACATTTTCACAGCTTAAACACCAAAAGATGACAGCTTACATGAGTTAGGGAATGTTTTAAGGGATCTCCTAACTTATTTTTGTTAGTGCAATATCACTTATTTTGTACTTTGTTTGATCTATCTAGCCAAAGAATTTTCTTGAGGAAAATCTGAAGACAAAGTGAGAGACAAAGAGCTTTAAGAATCTGAAATGCCTACTTATCAGGCTACTTAAAGCTGTAACCTTGGTCATCCATAAATAACTAACTCTCAAGCCACAAATTTCTGATGACAAAAGTCTACAAGAGTCTGCAAAAAAGAGGACAGAGAGAGAGAGAGAGAGAGAAATCCAGTACTACATGTCTTTTCTACCAGAACCACTAGGCCAAAGAATTTAAGTGAAAAAACAGCTTCAATGCAGTGCAGTCAAGAAAAGTTCTCAACATGACATAGACTTCAAGGAAATTACACTGCCTGGAAGGAACAAAGATTTCTCTCACGCCCCTAAAGATTTCTGATGACAAGTTTTTGCCTCTGTATTAGATCTAAACATAAGGAAGGAGAAGGGATTGACTTAGGGGAAAATGTATCTCTTGGTATCTTCCTCTAGTCATTAATTTTTAATTTAAAGCTAATTGATCTAGCTGATAAAAGGCATAGACAGAAATGAGTTAGTTTTTCTCTCCCTTTAGGGAATCCTGATAAGTTAACAGTTCAGCACATAAGTTGGACAATTCTCCCAGGGACCCTGGAAATAGTATTTTCTTGTCAAATGAACGAAGATACACCCAAAAATCTGGGTGGGAAGTGCCATCTATGCTCTTCTACCTGGGAAATCTCTAGTCAGCAATGGAGAGCCTCTAAATCAATGTTACTATGCAGAGTTTCTGTTTTACTAAAAATATAAATATCTCTCAAGATTATCTTTGTATCTCTTCATTGTTAAGTACATGGAACCTTATTTAGGGTTACAAGGTTTGATCATGCAAGTCCGCAAAGTTTCATTCAAAGGGCAACAGAAAGAGTAGAAAGAAAGCAAATCCGCCAGGGTTTATAATATACAGCACTTAAAATTAGACTAACATCAGCCCACTGAAGAAAGCTATGAGGTTAAGGATTCAAGAAATCTGTCCTGAAACAGACCTTTTCTTCTGTCTGGAAAACACGGATCAGAAAAGTTTATCTGGATGTCCGTCTTTTCCTAGGACCTACTCTAAAGCAATTCTAACACTCTAAGATAGAGATCTGACCTCTCACACAAGGGAATTATCCTACACTTATCAACCCTCCGAACTTCCAAATAATGCCCTAGCAATGGAAATGTCTGCTCTATTCTCAATAGTTGTGACTTTTAACACCGATAAACCCATCCCCAAGGCCTGACGCAGAAATTGGGGGGCAGGTCTGTCACTCACATTGACATTATTTGGGGTCATAGACAAGAACAGAATAATTCCCAGAACTGGCCGACCCACGGAGGTGGAATCTTTGCCCATACCTTCACACGAGATCCCTATTTCTTCCCCTCTGGAGGTCCCCTGGGAGGCTCTACCCTTGTAGACATTCTGAGAGCTACCTGCTGCCCCCCAGATTTTAACACCTCCCCTCAGAATGTATCCCCGGCAAACCAACTGGGTTAGTTACAACCTTCCTACTTCACAGTCAGACCTCAGCCAATAAACAGGAATTAGATAAACCAGAGGACTGGCTCAAGATTCTGTGCCTGGCCTGGGAAGTAAAGGAAGAAACTACAACTAGGACGAGGAAATACAACTTGGTTGGGGATGAAATTGTACTCCCAACCTCCTCTGACCAGGAAGATCTTAGGGCAAAGTAGAGGCAACCTGCTCTCCACTGAGTGTGCCCACAGGCCTAACCTAGTTTCCAAGTTAAATACACTTGGAAATATTTTAAAAAATATTTTAAAAAATATTAAAAAACAAACAAACAAAAAAAACCAACAGGGCAGCTGGATGGGCCCCTTCCACCGAGCCTCCACAGGAATATGAGTGCCAAATGCTCTCTGACTGTCCTCCAAAACATAGGGAAACTGAGTGATGGCCTCCTTTTCTTGAGTCCTCCCCCCTCCCAGGACACCGTGCCCTATCACACATCAGAAGTCCGTATGCTCTCGTCATCAAGGCTGAACAGAAATGGTTTCTCCTTGGGGTGCTGGGGCTCCGACCTGTGCCTTATCCGGGAGCTAGGCAACAGCCCAGAAGTACTGCTCTCCCCAAGTCGAGGCGTGAACAAAGAGTCCCCAGGAGTCTCTTCAGCTGGAAGCAGCTTGTCCCCGGCCTGGGGCACAGGGGTCCAGGGTTGCCAGGAGGACGCCACAGAGGGGGCTTTGCAAAGAGCTTTTTTCTCTTCCACAAGTGGCCGCCCCCTGCACAGGACAGAGTTGGGCCCCCCCGAGAGGCCGGAGCTTCCAGAGCGAGTCAAAGAAATGGATCTAGAAAAGGACATATCCTACAAAAATAAAAGGGAAGGGGGAAAAAAGGAAAATAAGACATTTCCTGACAATGTTTATCCCAAAGCCCCAGGAAGAGCACCCACCCAGGATCACCCCCTCATAGGTCCAGGGCACTTGTCTCCAGAAATCAGGTCTGACCAACAGAATTCACTCCAGATGTGTCAAGGTCTGCCTGGCAGGGAGATGGGTAGAACACATCACAGACTCTGTCTCTTTACCCAGCCCTACCTCACCTCTTTCCAACAACCAAAAAAAAACAAGCAATTAAACTTTGTGTAAAAACAAAAATCAGTAGAAAGAGAAAACAAACATGACAGCCAGAGGCTTCAGCTGCCTCACCAAATAAAACCTGCCCCTCAGAGCGACTCCGTCTCTTAAGTTGACAGTGTCCATGTACCAGAAAGGAAGTGACTTACTCTGGGGTGGCACTTGAGGGCCTGGACAGCTGCCCCGATCTCCTTAATCCAGCTGTGCATGTCTTCTGGACTGTCCGCCTGCAAAACACCCACAGCACTTAGGGAGAAATGTTTGGCACTATGATTTCAGCTAGCAAAGTCTGTGATTCAATTCTAAGTTTATAAAATCACACCATTAGAGCTGGAAGGAGCCCAGAGACCATGTCATCCAGTGGCTCTGACTTATGAGGACATTTGATTCCTGAAAACTCATATCTGACACCCCATAAAGAAAACAGCTCCAAGCAGAGCTGCTCTGCAGCGAGGCAGAGGCCGTCCCTGCTGAAGCCCCTCACCCTGTCTGGAACACAACGGGCTTCCACGGAAAAGAAAAATGAGGCCCAGAAAGCCGAGCTCAAGGCTTACAGTTGGTCTAGATTCCAGTTCTCCTGACTCCCAGTCCAAGCACCTTTCTACCACAGCCATCCAAAGAGAATAATCCCTTTTTCAACTCCAGTCCTGCTAAAGCCAAACCCTCTGCAAATCCTCCAAGATACATATTATCTCCAGGAACAAGGCTTCGCTCAGAGCACAAGCGACCTGGGTCTGTCTGGACTCCATCCAGGCCTGAAGAGCCGGTAGACTCAGAGCACCAAGCTTACCCAACAAGAAGGGCATTGCTGAGCCTTTAAAAAGCAAAGCCCCCAGAAATACCTACTGACCCCAGAAGGGGGCAGCAGCAGCTCTGTGAAGAGAAGAAGGAAAATGAAATGGCCAAGCAGCAGCAGGTGGAGCCCTCAGGATTCTCAGGGCCTTCCAGCTTTACAGTAGTTGAGTTTAAGGGAGCCTAGCAAACGCTTGCTGCGGCCCTACTCAGTCTTACACGTGGCATCGGGGCCAGGCACAGAGATGAGACCAAGACCAAACCCCTGACCTCCAGAAGTTTCCTTTTGGTAATCTCTCTCTGCTCCCTGTGCCTTCCCCTAACAGTCTTACCCCAAATCACAAGTGTTCATCTCTGTGCCTATGCAAGGTATATGTAAATGCCACCCTCCTGCCCGCAAAATTCTCCACATAGGCCCCTCACTTTCCCCATTCCCCCAGATGATTCTTTCCTGTTGCACTGTGTCAGAATAAAACCACAACTAGTTTTTTTTTTTTAAATCCTCGAAGTGCCGTTCTGTCAACCAAAACAAACCCTCATTAGTTAGGTGTGTGCAGAAGACACTTAGAAAAGAAATGGTTTCAGGGGTGCCGGGGTGGCTCAGTCAGTTAAGCCTCTGCCTTCCACTGAGGTCATGATCTCAGAGTCCTAGGATCGACCCCCGCATGGGGCTTCCAGCTCAGAGGGGAGTCAGCTTGCCCTCTGCCTCTGCCCCACCCTCACCACCCACCCCCCCAATCCCGCCACTTGTGCTCTCTCCTCTCTCCCTCTCTCCCTCTCTCAAATAAATAAATAAATAAATGGAATCTTAAAAAGAAAAGAAACTGTTTCACATGCTGGCATACTGGGTTAAGTGGGTATAAAAACAACCTGAACATTTTTCTCACACATTAGAGCTGCAACTTCACCTGTATTCTCCCTCACCACCCCAACCCCTGGGCTTTTCCCAGTTGTGTCACATCCTGGTGATTGGTTTTCCAAGAAAAAGACAAATCCATCCCTAGTTCAAGAAGATAAACAGGATGAGCTGTCCAAGATTCTTCCAGAAGTTATTTTACTAATCTCAGGGCTAGCCTGTTCTACTGGTGAGTAGAACCACTGGGAAAATGCAATGAACCCATTTAGGTAAAGCAGTTTGAACAGAAAGTATTAGTTATTGCTGTTGTTATTATACGAGGGACACAAATGAAGCCTTAAATTCTAACATTATATATAAATTCCAACTATATATATGTATATGTATATGTATATTATATATACATATTAATATATAAAAAATAAATTCCAACATTATATACATAATGCATATAAATATAAAATAAATAATATAAATGAATGTTATATTAATATATTAATATATTAATGTATGTTTATTATATAATATATATACACTATATAAATATATATAAAGAAATTTATAAATAAATTCCAACACTATATATATACACATATATAAAATATACATATTCCAACACTATATATATATATATATATATATATATATATATATATAAAACTGGCCTCTCCCTGAGATTTTTTTGTTGTTGTTTCCTCATACTCAAACCACAAGTAATTCCTGCCTAAGAATCAAATTGTCCAGATGAAATAAGATAACCTACTTGGCTACTTTTAGTTGAATTAGATAGAGGTAATTAAATTGTCCACTAGTAGAAAAGCATTTCTCAAAGGTTTTCCTTCTAGAGAGACAGCTGATCTGGTAGGAGGAAATGTCAGAAGACCGGGAGAGATGGAGATGAGAACTGAGGGAAAGACAAATGTCTCCCACACCATACAGGAGCTCTGGCATTTTCATGCAACAGACCACGCGATCCCCACAGTGATAGCTTCCAGGGTATGAAGCTACTTCAACCCCCACTCCACAACCCAAGCACAACACAGCAGCCCCCATGTCAAATGTTGCCTTACAAGCCATAAGCCAACTGTCGGATTATCCTTTGAGACCCCACCAATGCCCTCGTACATCTCTCCAGGGACCCACCACACCACGAGACTAGCAGTCTTCACCCCAGCCTCCATCTAGCAAGGAGTAAAAGAAACTAAGGGCCACCTGACTTAACACCTGGGGAGTCAGACCCAAGAATCAGAACCCTCTAAAACACATTTAAATTGTTTCCAACTTCCCTATCATATAGGTAATGCTGCTATTCATAACTTTGTGCACAAAGGTTTGGGTTTTTGGTTTTTGGTTTTTGTTTTTTTTTCCATTTTTACCATTCTTCAGCTCCTAGGAAAATTACTAAAGAATATGCATTCTTTTAAGGCTCTTGTTACATCTGGCAAGAGAGACTTCTGGTGAAAAATATAGATTTCACTTGTCACCAATATATTATTTTATTAGGTGCACCCCAGCTAGAATTAAGTATTTTAGGGTGCCTGGGTGGCTCAGTGAGTTAAGCCTCTGCCTTCAGCTCAGGTCATGATCCCAGGGTCCTGGGTTCAAGTCCTGCATCAGGCTCTCTGCTCAGCAGGAAGCCTGCTTCCCCCACCACCCCATCTTTCTCTCTGCCTACTTATGATCTCTCTCTTTGCCAAATAAATAAATAAAATCTTTTTTAAAAAAAGAATTAAGTATTCTAAATTTTTACGTCTTTGTTAATATGATGGGCAAAATAATTAAATCTCTGCCTTAAAAGATTTAGTAATTAAAGATGGAAACTGTTTGCTAAGTATATTTTTTCCCCAGTTCTCTAATCCTGCTTAAGGATATTTCCTGTCAGATAACCGTAAGAGTTAACCCAACCAGGAGGATAGTAAGAGTAGGCATTAGTAAGCATTATTTTAATGTTTAACAAATGTCATTTTAAAATATTATCCAGGGGTTGCCTGGGTGGCTCAGTTGGTTAAGCATCTGCCTCTTGATCTCAATCTCATGGTTGTGACTTCAAGCCCTACATTGGGCTCCACACTGGGTGTGCAGCCTACTTAAAAAAATAATAAAATAAAATATTTTTCAAATAGAAAAGCAGATAATGTGATAAGAATGAGAAGAAACAGACCATCATTTTATTGAGATCACAATTATAAACTCTATTTGTACTTTTAGAACTGGGATTCACTGAAAACAAACATATGGCATATGTGTAGGTCTATCTTTAATGGGAAGCTTGGGCTTAGCTTTCATCAAAAACCCAAAAAGATCTTAAAACAACATCACAAGGGTGAACCAAAAAAAAAAAAAAAAAAACAGTGCTGAGTCCACACACCCTATGATGAATTACAAAAAGTCTAAAAGATGCTTAAAATTCAGCAGAATAAAAAGGGAAGTGCCACCCTCATACCTTCATCTCTTCCTGGCATGCTGAAGTGTGTGCATTTGTTTCTGGCACTTGGCTGGAAAGAAAAAGTAGGGTTTCTGTCCTTGAGAACAGTTTCTGAGGTGAGATGAACAAAGGGTATTAAAAGGAATCACAGCAGCCTGCGGTTTATTGTAGTCCAATGAGCTTTTTTACTGAGGACCTACTCTGAACCTAGTACCATAACAGATGCAATGATTTGAAGCAATGAATTCCAGAGGTCGTCAGTAACAGGCCTCCAGTATCTACTGGGGTGGCTTCTGCTGCCGCTGTCCAACATTTATAGGATGCTCCTTCTCCATTCTGTTCTCCACCTCTGCACTACCCCTCCTTCCCTAAAATTCCCTAAAAATCCCTCCCCCTCCCTACCTAATTCTGTCTTTAGACACAGCGCGGCCACATCCAATTGTCTAGGCTGTGCACTGCATAGTTCCTAAGTGTTGTCATTCACCCTATAGTCTAAATTAAAACAGTAAGTGTCCAAAGAATTCTCGCCAAACACTCTGCAATTCACTTTGGAGCCCTCTTATTACTACTCTTAATCCTGACACAGCCCCCCGCCCCATTACTACTCTTATTCTGACAACTGGGCTTATGGCAAGTTACCCAAACCAGGCTGCACTACATTTTTCATCTGGAATAACTAAATCCTCCAACCTAATACCCCAACCTTCTATGACTGGAAAATGGGGAAATGGTGAACCCTGCATGCCTTGTATTCCAAGGAATGAAATCTCATCTTGAACCCTTGTCCAGGACTGAGAACCATCTACGGGCTGATGAGTCTGCTGACCTCCCAAGCTTAGATACCTGATTACTGCCAGATTCGTTCATGGTCACCCTGATCCACCTAACAGCCAGTCCCCTCAAGCTGTTCTCTCCTGGTCACCAATGGCCACACCCTTTCCATCTTGGGCTCTGCACTGAGCTTTTATTTTTTATATACTTTTTTTCCTATTTAAATTCCATTAATTAACATATAAAGTATTATTGGTTTCTGAGGTAGAGGTCAGTGATTCACCAGTCTTATAGAAAACCCAGTACTCATTGAATCACGTGTCCCCCTGAATGTCCACCACCAGTTACCCCATCCCCCCATCTACCTCCCCTCCAGCAACCCTCAGTCTGTTTCCTATAATTAAGAGTCTCTTATGGTTTGTCTCCGTCTTCATATTTTGTACCAATCTCCTTTTAAACAACGCAAGTGAGTAGGTCCTTCCTAATCAGTTCCACAGTTCACCAGATTTATGATCTCGAACAATTTACCTTCAGACACTCCGTCTCCTCATCTGTAAAATGGAGATGGCCTCAGAGATTGCTGAGAAATTAAGTGATATGTTGCCTGTAAACTCCTTAGCACTGTGACTGTCACAACTGAGTGTCCAACAAATGGTAGCATCCCAGGGTTCAAATTATACGTTAAGTGTGACATAGAAGGCATATGTGACAGACGGTAAATGACCAACACGTCAGCAGTTGGAAGCTGGCCCCATTCTGTCACCCAAGCCTCTGTGCCCTGCCCAGGAGTCTGTTTGCTCTGCCTCAGCTTCCCTGCCCTCTGGTCTAGCTTCCCCAGACACCGAGCATACGTGGTTCTTTCCAGCAGATCTACCCAACATACACTACGAAGCAGGTCAGAATGCCACTGAGGCATGGTGGCGAAAGCTGCTGGCACCAAACTATAGGAGTAGTCATATGCTTTTACCTTTTGCATGAAAAACAATTTTTACTTGGAACAAATGACTGACAAACAATCAGTCAAACTTACTCAGACTTGGGCATATGGTGGACTCTATCTCAAAAATGAATGAAAGGAATCTGTTTAGTCAAGCAAAATCATGAAAGTATTTTTTTTTTTTTTGCAAATGATGAATTTTGAGTTTTCAAACAAAATTAGAATTCCAAAATCTGGTATCATCCTCCATAAGCTTGACAGCTTTCTGTACTTAACGACTTTGTTGATGATGAGCCTTGTGGTGATGTTAACAAATGTGATTTTTTGATATTACATCATAAAACGTGTCAACATTTGGAAGATGTGCATACCTCAGTGGGACCACTATTTTCCCAATGACTGGTGCACACAGTTACAAAATCATGCATTGGTAAAAAGGATCCATTCAAAGTGTAACATTGACCAGTGGAGTTTTGTATAAGAGTACGAAAGTTTATGGGTATTGAGATTGGCTCCCAATCCACATTGCACCTAAACATTAAGAAAATACCATTTGTCAAGTTTTGATATAGAATCGGAAAAAATATCCACAATTATCTGAAAAAGCTATTAAAATATTCCTTTTTTCCAAATACATATCTATGCGAGGCCAGATTTTCTTCATACTCTTCAACCAAAACAACATATGGCCACAGATAGAATGCAGGAGCAGATATGAGAATCCTGCTGTCCTCTATTAAGCCAGACATTAAAGAGATTTGCAAAAATGTAAGAAAAAAAAATGTTACTCTAGTTGCTTTTTGTTTTAGAAATATACCTGTCTTTCATAGAATATTACTTGTGTCAACATAAATGAGTTTGTATTTGCTATCTGACAATAAATTACACATATTCTTAATGATTTTTACTGTATATTCTTCTCAATTTTCTGTTCTCTTTTGAGTTAGGGGCTATAAACAGACTTGTCCATTCGCTCATTTGTCTACTTCTGGGTGATGCTAGTGTTCTTTTATCCCAGAAATGTGGGAAAAGGCAAAGGAGGGTAGAAGGGATGGGAAGCTTCTAGTAAATGTGCACATGCTTTGTTCAAAAGTGTTTTGAACATTGTTTTTGGTTGGAGTTCATGTTTCCCAAATCATTCTCTCTCATGCAATGCTCTTTCCCAGCATAATCTTTCCCCTGACAAATACTGATTTCGTACCACCCATTTGTCAGGCACCGTCCCTCTGAGGACCTTCATAACATGTCAACTCAAATGTCCCACAGACACTGTCAATTCATCACCCCCAACTCAAAGGCTGCCTTTCCACTCCCCAGTCCCTCCTCCCACGCTCTGGTCTGAGTGACAACTGCCATTAGGCATCCCGAGGCCCAAGCCAAACACCCTGCAGTGTCCTTACCTCCCCTGGTTCCCCTCACCCCACATCCAACCCACGACCAAGTCTCAGAAAACATTCTTCAATAGCTTTTAAACTGTCCACTTTTCTCCACATGCTCATTCAAGCTTCCTTCATCCCTGACCCAAATTACAATGACAGCGATGGCTCTTCCTACCTCCTGTCACCTGTGTCTATACTGCACTGGGCCTGGAAACTCCAACTAGCACACCAGTAACGCAGACGGGTTGAGGGATATCACCTCCACTCCAGAGATGAGGAAAACAAGGCTCGAAAGTCAGATCATTTGCCCAGGTGGTATTTTTAAAAGGCAGAGCTGATTGGGCCCCTCTCCTGGTTCTATCTCAAGCGCCCTAACTTTCAGGACAAAGTACAAGCTCTTTAACAGCGCCTGTAAGGCAAGAGCCCTCTGTATGGGCATGCCAGCCTTCCATGCGCTCTGTGCTCCTTTCATCTCCAGGCTCTTTCACACATGCTCTCCCCTCTGCCTGGGCCAGTCTTCCAACTGATTTGGTTTAAATGTGTCTTCCTTCAAGAAACCTCCCCTGACTCCCTGAGACAGAGAAAGCGCCCTTCTTATGAGTTCCCATGACAACCACTGCTCACTGTAATGGTAGCACTAACCACGCAGGTTTTTTGGTTTTTGCTTTTTTGTTTTTTATTCCCTCAGCCCCTTTGGTGAGGTTGTTCCATACTCACAATTCATTTAGGTTTCTTTTGTCATCATCAGCATGCTGTGCTGGAATTATCTGACCTCTGAAGTGATTTTTTAAATTCACATATATTAAAGTTTTCTACTCTTTACTCTTACCTGTGCTATAAAGTCCTGTTTCAGGCATCCACCACTAAAGTATCATACAGAATAGTTTTGCTGCCCTAAAGATCCCCCAGCATTCAACCACCCAACGCTCCCTCCCCCACCCCATCACACTGTTTTAATCAAGCCTGTCTGCTTGACCATCTCTCTCCCTCTGGTTCAGGATCTGTTCTGTTTAACAGTGTCCCCAGTGTGGGGTTAAAATGCCTGGCATTCTAAGCATACTCTGAGTATCCCTGTTAAATCCAAGAACTGGAAACGCTTCGGAACCTACAGCCTAAACTTCGTCCCCGAATGACAATGGAACCAGCTCTAACAACCCCAGCAATGCTATCCACAGCTCCCTTATGCTCTCTCTTCCCCAGCGGAGTCCACGGCTAGTTAAGGCTAACAGCATGTCTGCTCAGCCGGTGGAGGGGGGCGGGGGCAGGATCAGCTCAGAGGGGTCAGGATTATGGAGCGGCTGCCCAAGAAAGGGAGGAGGGGGCCCCGTGGAAGGGATGGTACTTAACGGGGATTGACATTTGGAACAAAGAAAGAGCACTGGGAACCCTGAAAAGCCTTGGCTGCGCAGCCCCACATCTAAACCAAAGCCCTTCACAGCAGTCTGTACCCTGGAAATGAGATATATCACGACGCTGTGTGGAACAATGCATGTTCGAGGATTGCTAAGCAGGCTCGCGGATGGACTTGGCGTGGAGAGTCTAGGCCCTGCTTGGGGATCTGTGTTTCTCGCTCCTATGATTTGAGAAAGAGCTGGGTGAGCTCCAAAGCCGTGGGAGGAGGGAGAAGCTCGGGAGAGCTGAACTGTCAGAGCCCAACAATGACTTTCTCTGTGCAGCTGGGCTTTGCACCTGGTGCCTGCACAGGGCCCTCTGTGCTTTTGTCCTTCCGCACATAGAGCTGTCCACACAGGCGGGGCTTATAAATACCGTCCAAAGGAGAAGTGAAACCACTGGCTAGTTCTCTTTTTCTCTGCTTAGTTGGCGCCCAGCAGCTGAGAGCAGCTGGTACGAACTCGCATTCCCCAGTTCGGAGGCTCAACCTGCTCTTACTATTTTATGGTTGGGAAGCTTCTGGCAAACATCCTGTTTAGAATAAAATGGGACTCAGAGTGACAATTGGGGGCTAAATTTACCACGTAGAAACTTCAAACAAAATAAAAGAGAAAGCAGAGGAAAGGGCAAGACCTATCAGTACATCATTCACAGAGTCAGAACACCAAAGTTTCTCAAAGTAGGCTTCTTACCTGTATGTAGAAGGTCCTGGAGCTTGTTATGATTTCAAACAGGTTGTCCCTCATTAAGAGATCACTAGACAAAGAGAAAGAAAGTTACCAGGCATGCCCGCATGCCCACACACACATCGAGGACTTGATTCATCCTAAGTCAAGGCTCTGTATAAAGGGGGCTCCCAGGTCATTCCTCCTCCAGTCTCTGCCTCAAAAACGACGAGGGGGTCTCCTCTAGCTTCACTTTCTACGGGCTCTCAGGCTTCATCATCCCCATGGAAACCCCACACATACACCCCACCACCAGTTCTAACAAGATAAACTCCTTTCCCTCTAAAACCGCCTGCCTAATATCCACCACATCCCATAACACCTACAGTTGTGGGGAGAGGGGTACTTTTTAAATAATTTTTTAAGGATTTACTTATTTATTTGAGAGGGAGAAAGAGCACACAGAGGAGCAGAATGAGAGAGAATTTCAGGCAAATTGCACCACGAGCTGGGAGCCCTACTCAGGGATCCATGTGGGGGCTCCACACAGGGCTTGATCTCATGACCCTGAGATCCTGACCCCCGCCAAAACCAAGACTCGGACACCTAACCGACGAAGCTACCAGACACGCCAGTGGGGTTTTATTTAGTGGCTAAGAAGTACAGTTCTTTTGTGCAAAGTGGTTTTAAAAGTGGTTTTTTTCAGGGTCAAGCAGATGAACATTGTATTGGTCTTACAAATATGTAAATATAACTAATTGATTATATATCACTGTAAGATACTATTTATATCAAAATATAGGGAGAGATATTTGACGTGTAACATTTTGTTAGTTTCAGGTATGTAGCATAATGATCCAGTATTTGTATAGATTGTGAACTCATCACAAGAGGGCTAGCTGACATCCATCACCACACATAGTTACAAGTTCTTTTTATCTTGTGATGGAAGTTTTAAGGTCTACTCTCTCAGCAACTTTCAGATGCACAATACAGTATTATTAATTATAGTTATACTGTTCATTACATCCCTAGGACTTATCTATTTTATAAATGGGAGTTTGTACCTTTTGAACCCTCTTCACCCATTTTGCCCATCCCCTACCCCCGCAACCACCAATCTGTCCTTCGAGTGCTTTCCTGTGTGTTATTTCATCCAATCCTGACGACAGTCCAATAAAGAACTTAAGATTTTCCCTACCTTGTGGATGAGGAAACCCAGGCTCAGAGAAGTTATGTGACTTGGGGCCAAAGTTAGCAAACAGCAGAGCAAGGATTTGAACCCAGGTCTGACTCCAGAGTCTATGCTTTTAATTATTCCATTACCACTTGCTTCTACTAAGGGAAACAACTCATTTCTAAAACCTTCCTCCCCACAAGCAGCCACTTTATCAGCTTCATGAAATTCCTGCCCTGTGGCGTGCTGGGTGGCTCAGCTGGTTAAGCATCTGACTTCGGCTCAGGTCATGATCCTGGGATCCTGGGATTGAGCCCCATGTCAGGGTCCCCACTCACTAGGGAGTCTGCTTGTCTCTCTCCCTCTGCCCCTCCCCCTACTCATACACACGTGCAAGCACGTGCTCTCTCCCTCAACTAAATAAAATCTTTAAAAAAAAGAAATTCCCCCTCTGTGCCACTCTGTACTGGGCTGAGACAGGGAGCTAATGAGAAATGGAAGGACAGATTAGACTACTGTAAGATGCAACTGGGTATGAATTTGGGGAGAAGAATCAATCCTGACTTCTGCAAGGAAGAAGGTGAGAAGTAGCTGGTGCTCAGTGACAAACCTGAAATCAGCCAAAATTATTTGCAGCGTTAAGTGTCTGCTGTGTGTATCCTGGTACTGTGGGCAATACATAAGGAGCGAAAGGTTTTAGGTTTTATTGGGAAGGTCTAATTCCTTCCCAATAAAAGAACCAAAAAAAACAAAACTATACAATTAGATGTTGGACTGTGTGTTGGACGCCAAGAGTGAGAATAATTCCAAAAAAGGACTGGTCACAGGCAGAGTTGGCTTCGGAAATGAAGACCTGGAAGGCCGTGGCAGGCACTGGGCCCATGACATGGGCACCGGCGGAGGGGGAGCCTGAGACGAAAGACCCACGTGGGAAGGAACAGCAAGACGGGGGTCAAGAGGACGTGGGGCCAAATCTCACCTCCTCATAGAGAAAAGGTATTTTAGGAATATTTTTAAATGTTTGTGAGCCTCTATACCCCAACTGTAAAATGGAGATGAGACCTCCCTCATCAGGCTGGTCACCCCAGAGATCAATGTATAAAGTATATCAGGCATCTGCTACCAATTACAGCATATGGTGGCCTCTTGAGGCACATTTCACTGGCCGTCATTACTTTCTGAGCAGAGATGGCTCTTCTTCTGGCTAAAATGTGTTAGCTTTTTAAATTATTCACATGCATACAGCACACTCGTGTCATCGACTACTGAGGAGGTGAAAGCAAGGCAGGGAGGAAATCCCTGCCCTTGTCACATCTACTTCCAAGGCTACGTGTTGCCTTCTAATTCAGTTCCGTTCAGTTCGGTTTAACTCAATTTAACAAACGTTGGTTGACTACACAGATGCCCTAAAGCTTCCTGACTGGGTCTGAAGAGGCCGCAGAGTCTCAGAGGCCTGGAACCCGCACAGCCCTGCAGTCTTCCTTCTCGGCTCCCTTAATTCCTTCACTAAGAACTTGGTCTGACTCCGGCAGCAAAGGACTCTGGCAGGTGCAGAGCGTGCTCGGGACTGAACATGTTCTGGGCTCGCTAAGCTGCCCACCGTACCCAGGTAGTCATACAGCTGCCTGTCCACACGGGCCCTCTGGAGTCAGGGGAGGCAGGAACCATCTCTGGGGATGAGCCATGGCCAATCTCCCCTCTGCCCCCCAGCAAGCTCTGGAACCACACCTCTGAACTTCCACCTATGGCCAATGGCACAGATGACAACTTGCCACTGGGAACTTTCCTAATCTCTACTCTCCAACTGTCATCTGCAAGAGTCAGTACAGTCCCAATTCAGTCTCTGCTTCCTTGGGTCGTGTGGCATTTGTCAGCATGCAAGACCGTCCCGTGCATCACCACGAGAACAGTGTGTCTGCTGCCAGTCGTCTCCCTGATGATGCTGGCTTTGCATCACACCATCCGTGGGATGGAAAGACACAAACTGTCTCTGAGGACTGCAGACTGGGATGCCTGGGGGGCTCAGTCACTTAAGCATCTGCCTTCGGCTCAGTTCATGACCCCAGGGTCCCAGGATCAAATCCCGCATCAGGATCCTTGCTCAGCAGGGAGCCTGCTTCTCCCTCTGCCTGCTGCTCCCCCTGCTTGTGCGATCTCTCTCTCTCTCTCTGACAAATAAATAAATAAAATCTTTAAAAAAAGAAAAAAAAAAAAAAGGCTGCAGATTAAGGGACCGAAGGAGGATTTCTAGATGCCCAGATATCCTTGGGTTTCTAAAGTTTAGTTCTAAGGGCATCTGTATCTGTACTGCTTATGGGAAGGCCCTTGAGTCGGAGCCCCAGATCCCAAACTCATCCCATGCACTATGGTACGTGGACAGTAAATCATTTCCTACTGGAAGCGCAAATGTCCAAAGGGAATCACACAGAGTTGTTGTGAATTACCCCTGTGTTAAAGGGACATGAGAGACTTTGTCCACAGGAGGAGAAGGCATAAGAAGGTCAGGAAAGAGGCACAGGCAAAGCAGGTTCTGACCAGAAGTGCTGGTACGTGAGAAACCTGAGGGCACAGTCCCCACTTGGAGCCTTGGCCTCCTAGGCGATGAAAATCTAATTCTAACACTTGAGAAGCATCCCAACACCACTCTCTTCTTTGTTCCTATATTCTTTCTTTTTCTGCACCAGCAAATTATTATATAGGCTCTGCCCCTCTCCTCAGGGGCCAGAGTAAGGTAGTGGGAAAAGATGAGCTGGCCCAGTGTGGTCTCTTAGCTGCACTGGTTTGGATGCAGTGAGATGTCAGCCCCCGTCCTGTGCAAGGAAGAAGGTTCTTGAATAGAGCCTCAGAAAGGTAGTAAATGGAGATTTAAGTAGGCAAATGGGGGATTTTGATTAGAAGAGAATCAGCACAGATGATTACCCAGATTTGACCAGACACTCATGGGTCTTGAGAACGTCCTTGAGAAATATAGTGCGCAGTGGTTCTCGGTCCTGGTAGGAAAAACAGGTAAAGAAAGATAAATGAGGCTACCCACGTAATGCCACAACCCAGACCAGCTGACCAACGTACCTCTCTGGTCAGAGATGGTTGGCTAATACCAGGCTGCGAACAAGGCATGGTCTAAAAATAACTGTCAAGTGAGGAAAAAATTCTAAGAAGATGCTATGTGGCTCTGACTACAGAGTAGCTTGCTGCAGAGCAGGAGGGAAGAAGTTGGGCCATGTTGCTGTATCGATGTAAAGAGGTGCACACAGGGCAGATAGAGGGGACACGGAGGCACCTCTTAAGCCTGTGTGTGTGTGTGTGTGTGTGTGTGTGTCCACATCTCTACTCACGCACACACACCTGGGTGTTATTCACAAGCCTCTTGCTTCCATGACCTGTCAGAAGGGCCCCAGAGCAATTACAAACCTGCTCACACTTGAAGTAGGAGATAGTAAAGTCATCGAGTACAAAGAAGCGACGTTTCCAGCTCTTCCGCTGAAATAAAAAAAGCAGAACATTAAGAAGAGGCCCCAGCATTCTGGAGAATGTTCTAGTTCTATATTTCAGGGTACCCAGCCGGAAGGAAGCTGGGCACCCACATTCAGACTGCAGGGTGGGGGGCCACAAAGACTTCTTCCTATCAGGGGCGATGCCTCCAACTTGCAGGGTGAATGTTTAGTCCCATACCTCTCACCAGTTCGGGAGGTCGTTGAGGGGTAGCTAGAGCCAAGGAAGGCAGTTCCTCCTGCCAGCCAGCTCTCCCCGGGCTACACCCACAGCACTGCCCCCAGGAGCCACCAGGACCCACTAGAGCCCCTGCGCCAACACTCACCACATTCCCTTGCTTCACACAGTAGCCACTCTTAATGAGGGGGGGGCCAGAGGGAACACGGCTGCCTGTCGTGGGGATGTAACTCTGAGACCTCCGAAGGATGGCGTGGGACCCGGGCTCGCTCCCCTCCTGCCCATCCCCACCGTTCTACAAGGAAACAGCAGCAGGATTAGCTCGTGCCTCAGCCAGCCCTCTCTGGCGAATCCTCTCGTGCCTCTTTCTTTACCCACAATGGCAATTAAAGAAGAAATAAACAAGAAAGTAAACATTCACGGGCTCCTGTTAGACACTGTACTGGGGAATGTCACAGGAGAAGGCTCGGGGAAGCTGGGCAAAACCAGGAGAAACATAAGGACAGAGAATACAAGCCAGAAGAGGGAAGAAACACCCTAATGGGAAGAGGGACAGTGGGCTTGTTTCCAGGCTCACCTGTCTTCTCCAGCTCCATTTCCCATGTGATTTACAAGTGCCAGTCACAGGACCACACAGCCTCAAGATACGGTGGCCCTGATTTCTGCACTGCTATTCTTCATACTCACCCCTGTCCTGGATTTTCCTGACTACCCCAATGGCACCGGCTCCCCACCCCCAACTACCTATCCTCTGTGCTGGCCTCCTCTATGCACGTCACTGGTTCACTGTGGACGTTCCCATACCCCCACCGGCGCCGGCAGCCCCAGACCCCAGCACCTGGTTGATGGGTGTGTGTACCACCACCCCTCCGATGATCTCTGTCTTGTAGGCCACCTGCGGCTTCTTCTCTAGGGCTGGAGGAGCTGGTAGGCTTTTTATAACTTCCGTAGTCAGGGGCAGGCTCCCAACTTTGGGTACCTGGAAAGAAAGAAAGCTTAGGGAAAATGGGGTGGCAGGGGGAGACATGGGGAAAGGGACAAATTCTAGTAAGACCTCCTCTCTTCCCCAGCCCTTCCATCAACCCATACCTGAATATGAGGAACTCTGCCAAGCAGACACCTCGATACACACATACACACACACATCGGGCCTGAACACCCACTATAAGCCAGCCCTTCCCTGACTGCAGACCAAAGACAGAACAGCAAACAGACACGTCCTGCCCTCATGGCACGGACATTCTAATAGCAGAGACTGACAAAAAAGGGAGAGCCAAACAAAGAAAATAATAACAAACTGCAAGCAGTGCCATAAAGAAAAGAAACAGGAGTTGAGACAGACAGAGGGGAACTACTTGAAATGGAGTGGTTAGCGGCGGTCTCCAGGGGAGGACATGCTGGAACAGTAACCTGCAGAGGAACAGGAACCAGGGACGTAAGGAGGAGAGCACATAGTAGGCCGGGAACAGGTGATACATGTGGGCTCTGGTACAGAATTCAGGGAGCATGAACTTCAGAGCCCAAGGTACTGACTCCTCACCTGTCACTAACTCAATCAGTGACCTTCAGCAAATCACTGAACCTCTCTCTAGGCCAAAACTGTCCCGTGTAGAAAATGAAAAGGGTAATAATATGTATGTCATAGAGTCACCGTGCTTACCAAATGACAAAGTACATATACTTAAAAACTTCAGAAATACAAAAATATAAAAGTACAGTTGACTCTTGAACAATGCAGGGGGTAAGGGTACTGACCCCTGCACAGCCAGAACTCCGTGTATAACTTTCAACTCCCCCCGAATTTAACTACTAATAGTCTACTATTGACCAGAAGCCTTACCGATAACATACATCGTAAATTAACACATATTTTGTATGTTCTACGTATCATGTGCTGTATTCTTATGATAAAGTAAGCTAGAGAAAAGAAAATGTTATTAAGAAAATCGTAAGGAAGAGAAATACACTTCCAGTCATGTAAAAATCTTCATGTAAGTAAATCCATGCCATTCACACCCATGTGGTTCAAGGGTGGAAAGTACTACAAAACATTTTAATTAACATTTCACAAAGGGTATTAACATTTACAAACACAGCCCTTTGTGAAGAGTTATCTTTGTTCTTCACCTTGGCAGAATTAGGGCACCAAGGATAGTCACAGAACCACAGAATTTTTAATGGCTCCTTTGATGCCACAGGCCACAGACTGCAAATGGTGGCATGAAGAAAGATTCTGGCCAAACTATGTTTTGTTTTGTTTGTTATTTAATTTTTTTTTTTCAGTGTTCCAAGATTCATCGTTTATGCACCACACCCCACACTGTGTTTTGTTGGTCTGATGCAGTGTTTCCAATCTACATTTAAAGCTTGGGGTAGCTCACCTAAAAATCCAGACTTCTAGCCAAGCAGCATTTCTGTCTTTAGAGGGAGAACATTCTCCAGTTTGCCCCTGTCCCTACCCTGTTCCCCACCACTGAGGCTGTGAGTCAGGTGCTCTTTATCCCCATTTATGTTGCTTTCCTTCCTCCTTGCTCACCTCTCTTCTTTACACTGGCAATTCCGATGAAATCTTTCCATTTTGTCAAGAAAACAGGAGAGGCCCAGGCCATTCAAGTCAATGGCCCAAAGCCATGGTTAATAACTGCACGGAGCCCAGACCCTAAGTGCCCACTGGGGCGATGCCCACAGCCTCACGAAGCCTGTCCTTCACACAGACTCAGCACCTGTGTGGGTCAGCATGCTCCCTGAGTAACACTCACATCTTCACTCCTTCTACAGCCTCGAGAATCAGAAGGAACTAAGAATCTAGACCTTGCAAGAGCTCCTGGTTCTGGGCCCTTGGAGAATTCTGTCAAGGACGAGACCGAGGACCACTCCATTCCATGTCTGCTCAAAGGAGGAAGAGCTCCAGAAGGACACTGGAGCCCCAGAAAGAAGATGAGACCCTTCTTCCTGGCTTGTGCATTCCATTTACATAGACAATGGTGACCTCGGCCCACCTGCTCTCCAGATGCAGCCAGAAATCCACCTTCTCTTTCCCTTCGGGCTGTCCACACAGCAGTTCCCACTTCTATGGGCCCCATTCAGCACCAGGCAAGGTGCCACACTCTGCAGCATGATCTCTATTTCAAGCAATCTTATGAAGGAGGTATTATCTCCTCCATTATATAGATGACATAAATGAAGGCTCATTAAAAAGAAGTAAGTTGCTGCTAGGACTGTCGGACTCTCCGTTGCTAAATGTCCCACTACCCACCTATGCTACCACCATTTCTTTCCCTGAGCTTCGCTATTGTGCGATGGGACCCCTTTGAGGATGTTGATAATTGCTGGGATGTTTAGTGATATCATCATCATGGAACAACAGAAACTCCCCCCAAAGGACCTAAATGAATTCCAGCAAAGAAGAAGGAGGGAAGTAGCCGTTTAGAGGTCCCAGTGGTCAGAAAAGGAATCATGTTAGCTTAGCTGTTGTGTGGCCTCTCAGACTCTCTTCAGCCCCTGTATCATGGGCTGGTTCTGACTGCCCAGAGCCTTTCCAATGCTTCTGGAGACTGAATCAGTCTGTGGAGGACGAACTCAACAATAACTATGCCCCAGAACCTGAAAACAAGGTCTTTCTTTTGGTTTGGCCATATCCCCAGAGGCCTAAATTCAAGGTATACCCTCTTCCATCCACCTGTGGGGTATTCTCTGATGGGGGAGAGCCTTATGGATCTCATTTGCAATGTGAAATGACAATTACAGGGACATGGGGTGCCTGGCTGGTTCAGCTGGTCGAGCATGTGACTCTTGATCGTGGGGTTGTAAGTTCAAGCCCCATGTTGGGTGTAGAGATTACTTTTCAAAAAATCTTAAAAAAAGAAAGAAAGAAAGAAAGAAAGAAAGAAAGAAAGAAAGAAAGAAAGAAAGAAAGAAAGGAAGAAAGGAAATTAAATTAAATTACAGGGACTCATCTTACTTCCCTCCAGGCATGGCTAGACTGCGATGAGGAATAATCCAATGGGGGCAAGGGACTGTGGTTTACTTTTACTGCTTTTCATTTTCAAAACATTTCAACTGTTTGGGGAAATGTAGTTAGTGGAATAATGCCCCACTAAAACTATCCACCCATAAACTCAGAATGTGACCTTATTTAAAAATAGGGTCTTTGCAGGTGTTGTTAAATTAAGATCAGATCATACTGGTTTAGGGTGGGCCCGAAGCCCAGTGATTGATGTCCTTATCAGAAGAAGGGAAGACAAAGGGACACAGGCAGTACCATGATGATGGCAGAGATGACAGTAATGCAGCTACAACCCAGGGCACACCAGGGACTGCCCAGAGCCACCAGAAGCTAGACGAGGCCAGGAAGGATTCTCCCCTAGAGAGAGAGGCCCCCCATTTGCTGTGGTTGTCCCATAAAACTCATACAGGAATACTAATACTCTGAGAGAATCCAATTCCTTAAATACCACATGTCAATCATTTCTTCAATGACAAGGACCCAGCGGCCTTAGCACAAAATGGACAGTGATCTGTGGGCAGAAAAACTGGATCCATCCTGGCTCCTTGACCTTGGACAAGTCACTTTAATCACTAGGCATTTCCACTACCCTGTTTATAAATGGGTATAATAACACTTGCCCTTCCTACCTAAGGATTTTATATGAAGCTACAATGAAGCCAAGCATGTAAAAGCAGTGTGTGATCCAACACACATTATAATGGCTGCTCTTTTCAAATATTTTCAAATATTTTTCAAATATTTTCATAAACTCTTCTAGGTGTTGAAAGTCACAGGGTCCTGGGTTTGAACGTCAGCTCTACCGTTTATTCACCTCCAGACTTTGGGCAGCCCTGATTTCCATTATTCTCCTCTAAAAAAAAGAAAAAAGGCAGTGAAACCACGTATCTCACAGGAGTGATGTCAGAGGGGTGAAAATTACAGCACATGTGAAAGCTTGGTTCAATACATTATCTGTTCTTTCTTTCATCTCTGTGTCCCCCAAAGTGCCTGATACTTCACGTGTATATACGGTGCCCTAAAGTGAGTGTGCATGCCATCGATGTGGTGTCCAGCCCCACATCCTCCCTCTTTCTGGCCTCCCTGAGGAAGGACTCAAGATACAGGATGATATGGCAGTGGAGAAAGGAGTAAACCCTTCCAGGGCACAAACAGATGAGGAGAGAGAGTGCCCCTCCTCTGCCTTCTATCCCATGGGACCTCTGGCAGGAGTGAAGAGATGTATGAACCAAGCCAAGGAAAGGAAGGGGGATCATGGAGACAATGGAGACCTGCAGCAGGCTCTGACATTCCAGCAAGCCTCTGGATCCCCCAGCCTCTCGGCACCACCACATTCCTTCCCACTCCTGTGGCTTATAACTTCCATTCCACGAGGCCAGAAAAGAGGCAGGGGGAACTCGCTGCTTAGAGCAACCCTATGAGGGCTAAAAGGCCCCCACAACCTCACAGGCTGGGTAGCCCAGTGAACCAGACATGGACAGAAGAGGAAAGCTAAGAGGCAAGGCTGAAAGAGAATAAAGTATCAGACATTGAAAGAAACTCCAAAACTGTATTAGACACAGAAGGGTGAAGACCCCACCATGGAAGAAGAAATTCTGTACTAAGCTCAGCACTACAGCGCCATGTGCACAAGCAAAGGCATGTGAGTTAGCTGTAACACCCCACTCTCCCCTCAGTTCTCCCTCTTTTCCTGGGTTTCCCAAGGCTTGTCAAAATAACAAGACCACCTCAATAACTCAATTGTTCTCTGCTTGGGTCTGGCATCACAAGAGTTGGATCGGTGTACCAATTTCTTCTATTAATTTATTCACAGAAACCCTGAGGTATTTAGGAGAACAATCTGCCCCAGTACATAATGGTTACTATCAGGAATGACTAGAACATAAGCATTTCTGAGTGTATGATACAGAAAATCAATCTTCCAATTACAGAATGGGCAGAAGACACAGACATTTCTCCAAAGAAGACGTCCAGATGGCCAAGAGACACAGGAAAGATGCTCATCACTGATCATCAGGGACATGCAGATCAAAACTACAATGGCTGTCGCCTCACACCTGTCAGAATGGCTAAAATCCATGACACAAGAATCAGCAAGTGTTGGCGAGGATACGGAGAAAGGGGAACCCTCTTGCACTGTTAGTGGGAATGCAAAGGGTGCAGCCACTCTGGAAAACAAGTTCCTCAAAAAGTTAAAAATACAGTTACCCAACAATCCAGCAATCGAACCACTGAGTAACTACCCAAAGAAACAAGAACACTAATTCAAAGGGATACATACACCCCTATGTTTATAGCTGCATTATTTACAATAGCCAAGGTATGGAAATAGTCCAAGTGTCTCTTGACTGATGAATGGATAAAGAAGTGATATAGATATAGATATAGATATATAATATACATATATATGTATATATGTAAATATGTATGAATATGTACATATATGTATATGTGTATAACACACACATAATGTAATATTGTTCAGCCATAGAAAAGAATAAAATCTTGGGGCACCTGGGTGCTCGGTTGCTTAGGCATCTGTCTTCGGCTCAGGTCATGATCTCCAGGTCCTAGGATCGAGCCCCATGTTGGGCTCCCTGCTCACCAGGGCATCTGCTTCTCCCTCTCCCTCTGTCTCTCCCCCCACCCCCTACTTTTGTTCTCTCTCTCTCTCAAATAAATAAAAATCTTTAAAAAATAAAAATAATAGAATTTTTTTAAAAGAATGAAATCTTGCCATTTGGGATGACATGGATGGAGCTACAGAGTATTATGCTAAGGGAAATAAGCCAAAGAAAGACAAATACCATATGATTTCACTCATATGTGGCATTTAAGAAACAAAACAAGGAAAACGGGGGAAATGAGAGAGACAAATCAAGAAACAGACTCTTAACTAGAACGAACAAACGGATGGCTACCAGAGGGGAGGCAGGTGGGGGCTGGGGAAATGGGATGAGGAGGAAGCAGTGCACTAGTCAGCATGAGCAGAGGGTGACACATGGCAGTGCTGAATCACCGTATTGTACACCTGAAACTAATCTAGCACTGTATACTAACTGGAATTAAAATAAAAACTTAGAATAAATAAATAAAAATAAATTTAAAAAGAGTATCAATCTTCTCAGCATACAAACCATGGCTTGTATGCCACAAGTCTGCCTACTGTCAACGGAAGGTCTAGTTTTTTTCCAAACATAAAGTCTTCCCTCTTCTCTTTCTTACCCTTTCCCTTTTCTGTATTTCTAAGGAAGAAGAAAGGAGTTCACCAGCCAAGTCAAAGAAGATGAGAATATTCACAGAAGAGTCAGTGAACCAGCTCAGTGATGCTTTCAAATGGAAGGCTTTTCCAGGACAGGTTGGTGGATGGACTGGACTGACCCCCAGGCAACCTCTTAAAGGAAGAAGAGGACCCCCCACCCCATTCCCAAGCCAGTAAAAAGTTCTGACTTCCCTCTTTATATGCTTTTCCCTTTCCTCTGCTTCTCGTAATCCGCAATCCATTTTCCAATCCCACCACGTTCTGAATCAGCATGCCAGAATGACCTAAAACACAACTCACCAGGAGCCCTCCCAGGAAGCACAACGGGGACACTCCATACACTTCCCCTTGAACTTGATTCAAACTCAAACTCTCAGTTCAACTTGGGGTTAGTCAGCCAAGGTGTAAGAAGAGGTAGGGGGAACCGGGTCTCAACAGGCTCCTGGGAAAGCCCCCGCTGTCAGCTGAGCGTCTCCCCACCCCAAAGAGGCCACATGCTGAAAAGAGGCACTGAGTCCCTCCAGAAAGAAGGACTCATACATACGGTGATCTTGCTGGCTTGGTTCAGGGCTTCCACCCAGTCCTTCAGATCCTTCTGGTCATTAGCTTGAAGAAAATACCTCTGAGAGAGGGCATTGATGACTGCAATAGTCAGGGGGAAGAAGAGAGAAAAACCCAGGTCAGAACACATGCAGGACAAAAAGACGCCATCAAAACTCAGGTGCCTGAAGTAGCAAGGTGGAGGTCTGCACAGAGCGAAGGCATCCGCCGCGGTGCAAAGTCAGCGGCGTGCGCATCTGGGAAGCAGCGGGCTGCAGCCGCTCTCTCTCCAGAAGTGTGAATTGCTCCATTATCCATGAGAACAACACCTGCTGTTCATGTTTAAACCACCCCCTTCATGTGCTGTTGTACAGGGATGAGGCTTCTAGTCCGCCCTCAACAAGACACGAGCTTGAACTGCTTTCTAGAGGCGCCAACAGGCCAGAGTCTCAATGGTACATGTATCATTTTGGACCCAGTGCTCCTTGTTTCCACTGGCACAACTGGCCTGACTTAGGAGTCTTGCCTGTGGTCAGGAAAAGAACAAAGCTTGCCTGAGATCAAATCTGTGACCCTGACCTCATTCTCAACCTGTTCTTTCCTCTGAACCCTCTATGAAGTCAATCATTTTACTTCTGCGTTCATTACTTATCTTGTTTAGATCTGCTGACCACAAAATCTGAGATAGTCATTTCTGAGCTTAGCGATGACATTTGAAAGAAATGGGACAACAAGAACACCAAAGAAGCCTGACCCAACCCGAAGTTGGGAGAGAAGACAGCTCAGTGACCACCTTATTCTCCTAGCATAAATTAGTCAGAACTACAGGAGGCGAGCATCGCCGGGTAGACAGAGAATTCATTAGTTCATTCACTCATCTGACAAATATTACTGAGCATCCACTATGGGCCAGGAACCGCTGTATGTGCTGGGGATACAGCAGTGACAAAACAAAGGGACAGCCCTGCTTCATGGAGCTGACATGCAGAACCACGCATATAAACAAGAGAAACTACTTGTTAGCATCTGTTTGTGGCACTTAGTATATAACCAAGAACACAGTAGGCGCCAAATAACGACTGATGATTTAATGAGTAGGGGCATCCACTGAGTGACTCTGCTTCCTGTGTCACTCCCAACTCTGGCACTCATGTGCCAGTGCCAAGACACTCAACAGGATACTCCTTTTCTATTGTTCCCCCAACTCCCCCACATCTCCACCTTTCCTGAGCGCACTGCTGCTGCGTCTGAGAGAAGGCTTCCCAGAAACGACCAGTAGATACCTGGACCCTGCCCTGCAGGGTCAGGAAAACCGAACCATCCCTGGTTCCTGTACCTCCGCCTTCCGGTTCTATCTTCCCCGCAAGACCAAGGAAAGCGGTATCGCTGGAGATGTAGGCACATCGCCATGACTGAAGTCACTCACACACGCAGGGAGTAAGTCACATGTGATCACAGGACTGTCTCCACACGAAGAGGAAGTTGCCGCAGGACTGTTCAGAAAACCCAGCCCCCAATTCAGTACTTACCAAAGCAAAATGGAGTTTTGGGTTTCTGCTTCGGTGTAGCTATGCTCACCTAAACCAAATAAAAAACAAAATAAGAATAGTTTTCTAAGATGGTTGTAAAGCATTTTTTTTCAATTTTGGTGGGGGGGAGGGCTGTAAAATTTTCCACACAAAAAAGAAGAGTATTTAAAACATATATAAACATTCTAAACAATAGTAATGAAGTGGAAACGCTGTACTCACCCTCCAAATTAAGAAATAGGCCATTACCAGTCCTATTCCTTAGATGACCTTTGTGTGCCCCTCCCTGAAAGAATCCCATCCCCACCCCTCAAGGGATAACCACTACCTGGCTGTCTACCTTCATCCTCTTTGCAAAAACACTTTGGAAAGCCACCCACTCCAACAAAATTCTCTTTGGACCACACAACCCGAATGTGGCCTATTCACACTAGGAAGACCTCAGCCCTCTCTCTCAACCACTGACCCCCTCCCTAAACCGTTCTCCAAATGAAAGGTGGGATGGCTACAAATACACAGATTCCAATTAGAGCTCACAGGAAGGTCGGGCAGCGTGCCAATGTCCTTTTCTATCTACCCTGACTGCTTAACCCTGAAAATAGGAGGGTGCCCAAGGAATCAGAGCATACCTATGCATTTAAGGGAAGGGAAGAGAAGAAAGTAGAAATAGTTTTACAGCTCCTGTTGTGTTATCTCATCTTTTTTCTTCAATCCCACCCCTTGCATGTAAACTCCTGACTATGTACACAGGTGAACCTGCCTCACTCTGGTTCAAACATGCGGAATGAATAAAGGAAAACAAATCATGTCCGCCATATGCCAAGACGGGACTGCCCTTGATGGAGTTCAGTTGAAGTCCCTGGAACAGGTCTCCACCACTATACCTGGGATTGCGAAGGAGGCATCTTCCTCCAAGACCCTAGGTTAGGAACTAGTCCCACATTCTCCTAATCCTCCTGTGGACAGCATTCTCTCAGTCCCCTTTCCAAGCAAGGGCCTTCTCCTACATGTATGAGACCTGAAAAAAAGGCCTGCCCACCAACATACAAAATGAACATAGCATACTCAACATCAATAAATAAATCACTAATGTCTACATAACATTCTACCAACCTCTTCGACAAGGATTTTAAGTGCAACAAGATGTCACATTAAGACGACTTCACTAATGTTTCCTTAAACAGTCACAAAAATCTCATCACATTTGAAAATAATTAGTAGCTTTGATATTCTTAGTTCAAAAGAATCTTTGGATATGTGAGGTGATTGCTGAGAAATATAGCCAATCATGAATTAAATGAGTTACTCAGCCAAATCATTCCAGAAATAAGATGACTGAAATCTTTTCGAATATTTTATAGCCAATTCTATTTAATGAGGGATATGGTTATATTCTGATCTGTTCACCAGGATGTGATGTGGAGGTCTTCTGGCCTAAAGAAAGCCTTTCAACAGTCCTAAAAAACATAAAAATTCAGGCAAAGGTGAGCCCACCTCACAGACTACCCAAATTCAGGCATGTCTTCACCACCCCCAGAAACCACTCCCCAGAGCTCCATGACATCATAAGTTCTGGTCCCTGTGCCACCTTGTTTTTGGGGTTTTGGATCCTAGGATTCCATCTGAACCACAGCATACACCATTATCCTGCTTCTGTCTGACGTCCTGATCGGTCAGTGACTCAATTTCTGGCTCTTTCCCTCGGCACCCTTGTTCCTCCTGCAGGTCCCTTATGCCCAGAACACCTGCATGGCCTGCCCTCAGTTCCCATGTAGCTCTGACCAGCAGAGAGCAGGCTGATCCTCAGAACCCACCTATCTCACGGCTTCCTTCCAACTGTAAGCTTTAGAATGGCTGTGAAAAGCTGGGCACTCAGACCCTCACTGGCTTATGAGAAGGCTCACCCCTTTCTCCCAGAAACTGACATTTATCACTGACCAGAGAAAGCACCATGGTTTCACCAGGTTGGATGACAAATGGTCCACAGTGACCACAACTTTTTAGCAGCCTACACTGAGGGAATGCTACCGGCATGCTTATTACAACAACCTAAGCGATCACCTGGCTTTTCATTTGTTTTTATAGGTTTATCCAGTTTTCAGTCAGGGGACATCAGAGATTACATACACGCACACCTATAATTTGCCTCGGGCCCAACCACAGAAGCATTACTTGGCAAAGCAGCTAGCTCCTTGCTGAATCAACGGGACATCAGTCCTAGTTCTGCCCTGTGGGCCGTTTAGCAAGGGTAAGACCCTCAGTGTCTCTCTGATCAGCTTCCCAATTAGCAGGACCAGAGTGCAATTACTAGTTTCCTTCTTATCATCACAGAATGGCAAAAGAGGAAAATGAAATTCTATCTAACTAGGCTGTGTTCCTTGGGGAGAAGGGATGAAGTATGGGCCTCATTTACTATGGAAAGGTAGCTCTGGCCTCCTCCTGATATCCTGGGGACCGTGACAGCAGAATCCCTCCTCCCCTGGGAGGTATAAGCCCTCGGGCCTCCACCCCACCTCACGCTGGTGATCAGACCAGACTGTGCAGCCTCCTTCAGATGTAGTGAAGGACCAGAGGATCCTGAAAAAGCATGTCTCACAGACCAGCTACAGGGAGGGCACCCAAGTGCTACCATCCCCCTGCCGGAGGTGGCCACAGTTAAGTAGCTGCGTAGCCGTGGTTGACTGGTGGGTCCTGAGTTATGCAAGCAGTGAGAAGAGGTCAGGATGTGAGGGGTGGAATGGGCACGGGTCAACCAGAGAGTGACGCAGACAAGACCACTCTACAGCTCAACAGACTCTCAGGAACTTGCTCTTATCAGATCAAACACAGACCACAGCAGCAGCAAACTCATCAGTGGCAGGGCACTGCTAGCCAGCCCCATCCTGTCTGCCCCTGGCCGGAAGTGGAGCTGGGGCCCCTCTGGTAGGAGCAGCAGCAGCAGCAGAAGGTCTTGAAGCTCTGGGGTAGCTCTGCCCCAGTGTCCAGGCACCCTTGCCCCATGAGGTGGCATCAAGAGCAGAGGAAGCCACGGTCAACTACACAGAATGACTGGAAGGGTTCTAAGCAGTGGTCTCTGGACCAGCTTCAGTAGGTCAATGAGCCGTGAAATTACAGGCAAAACCAGGGTTGTACACACATACATACTTCACCTGAGGTCCATGATCTTCACCCAGCACTCAAAAGGATCTGTGACCACCACTGATTCCCCCCACCCCACCACCACCACCCCAAGAGGTTAAGAACCAGTGTTCTTGGAAGGTCTTCCTCATAACTAACTGAGGGCAAGGCCCTGACAGAGCGGGACACGGCTGGGGATGGGACATGGCTGGGGATGGGACACGGGGGCTGGCTGTATAGAAGAGAAGAGCCATCAGGCAAGGCGGGAGGTGGTGGCACCAAGCCCACCTTCCATCATTTTCCAGTATGCCCAAACCTGGTTCTGCTGCCATCAGTGCCCCGGAGGACATCAAGTCAAGGACTTTCACCTCTATCGGCCTTTCTGAAGGAACTCATCGTCCCAACACACGCCTCAAGAAAGAGCGACAGAACAGCACCCCTGCGCAGAGACCACACGTACACAGCGAGCCAGGTCGACACTATGGTAAAATGCTTTCCTCTGGGAGGGGCTACCCAAAGGTTCACAAGAAATAAGCTGGAATGCTGAATTTGATGCCAGTGGCCCCGCTAAATGGGTTTCTGGGAAAACCCATGCTTTCTGGCACTGGGTCAGGTAGGAGTTAAAGGCTCACTGCTCCATGTAACCTGACCCCTGGGGCAGCTGCGGAGGGGGGGGTATGCAAAAACACCCACCCAGGCCTGCATCTCTGCAGAAGGGCTAAGAAGCAGGTCCATCCTTTCTAAATGAGACAGCTTCCAAAGCTGAGAATTCTAAAAACCCTCATCTGAGCTGCATTTATAAATCGTGATTCAGCAAGAGATGGTATTCACTCTTCCCCCAATTAAAAAAAAAAAAAAAAAAGAAAGAAAGAAAGAAAAAAGTCTCTCACCAAACCAAACTCTCTCCAACAGGAGGTTTGGAGTTTCACTAATAATGAGGTTCTCTACTCCGCCTCTCTGATTCTGTTCCTCCAAACCTCCTAGAAAAAGACCTCATGAGCCCCCACCAAGACCGGACAGGAGAGGGGAAGGCCCAGGCCTCCAGCCAGCGCAGCCCCAGAGGCAGCCACATCTCTCACCACAAGGCAAGCACAAATTGCCCACAGCTGCGCTAGCAAAGCTTTTCTTTAAGCCCTGCCCCCTTCCCCTGAGGTCATTATCTCCTCTCTCTAATCCGCTCAGACCCTGCCCTGCATCTTCTGCCTCTGTGGCTAGCCCTGCCTCCAGCCCCTGTGGAGGCTGCCACCTCCAAACCAGCCCCTGCCAGCTGCGACAGGCGGCTGGACCCAAGGGTTCCCAAAGCTCACTCAGATCAGGGTCCCCCCCAAACTTGTCTCAACCCCTGAGGGTGGGAGAACATGGACAAGGAAGCAGAGATCCCCAAGAGGCCTGATATGAAGGGTGCATGGGGAGAACAGGACTTCCGGAACCTTCGTGCTGGCTGGATGCCACCTGGCTCTCCTCACTGGACAAAGAGTTCCTCTTTCTGGCGAGGCTCTAAATCCCCAGCCTTTTTTATCTCTGCTGCATCACAGGTCAGCACTGGAGCCTGCTCCGGGGGCGGGGGTGGGCCGCTGAAAGCAGCTCAGTGCCGCAGCTCCGCGTGGGCATCACCAACCAGCCTGCAGGGCCCCCGGTGTCTCAGCTCCAAAGAGGGGCTGCTCTTTCTCCGTCTGCACTAACCAACCAGGGGTGGTCTATCCGCCTGCCTGCCAGGCTCTCCAGCAGTCATCTGGCGGCTGAACAGTTCCCTGGGACAACCAAGTGCCTTCCCGGGGCTCTCCTAGCCTTCCCTCCACAGTCATCCTGTCCCCACCCTTTGTGAGCTGCTCCTGTGGAACAATACCCTTTGGGAGAATCTTTTCTAGTCACTGGGAGTTTTGCAGTTGTTTGGTACTTTTTGCCCCAATGACGATAAAAGGTCATGCCCGACTCCTACCCCAGCACCTAGTTCTCCTTGACAGGAGCTGGGAGCATCACTGACCGCTGTGTCCCCGGAGTAAGAGGCTTCAGGCTCACCCTCCAAGAACCTGCTAACCTCACACCACCCAGCACCGGTCAGCAGCAAAGCTTCCAAAGGGAGGACAGGGGAGCACTTCGCTGCCCAGACAACACACCCAAATGCTAATGCCCGAAGAATTTGACATTTCTCATTTAGATACTAAACCTACTTAGAGGACGTGAATCCCCAGAGATCCAGGCGGACATTACCTTGGAGATGTAGGTCAGCTGCAAAGATCCAACGGCGCCTGCCCCCATGGCCAGGTTCTGAAAGACACATGTTTTTCATTTTTCAGAAGCGTGATGCTATGTGAGGCACTGGAAACAACACTAAGAGACAGAAGACCAAGACGCTAGTCCTGGCTTTGCAACCTTGACCAAGCCACTTACCCACGTTCTTTAGCTCACTCTCCTCCATAAAATGGTGATAATTCTTACCATGGCTATGTTGACACAAACGTTATCCTTGGCCATAAATTACTACAGAGGGGTGTCTTCTAGGATGGTGGTTATAAGTGTGAGCTCTACCATCTGAGTAAGTTCCTTAACCACTATGCCTCAGTTTTCCTTTCTGTAAAAATACGGATACTAACGGTACCTACCTCACAAGGCAGTCATGAGGATGAGTAAGTACTTTTCAGGGCACTTGCAGTCATCCCTGGTACATAGATGACTCTCAACAAGTATTAGCTATTATATTTTTTTTTCTTTCCTGATGGTTCTGGTCTCCTTGTTGGCTTGGTCCTGCTTTATGCCACTTCAAATTCTTTTTGTAATAAACAGGGTACATATACACACAATATAGAAATCTTTTAAAAATCCAGCTGTTTAGTTTATTTCACAGGATTATTATAAATACCAACTGGAATGATGTCTGTATGCCATAAAACACTAAATAAATGTCCTAGTAAAACAGCAAGAAACCCACAGGCACCTGGTCGGGCAATATTCTGTCCTAGCACAATCTCCCTGGCTTGCTTATTTCTCCGCTGTCAGAAACGAAGCAATGAAGACACAGGGATGACAGCAAACCAAAGAAATGAACAAGATTAGAAACCTCAGCTGTGAAGTTTCTTATTTATAAATTGGAAAATCTACCCCCCTATGGACCTTAAGAACCTGTCCAGAGCTCCTGGTGCCCCTTAAGTTGCTGCAGAAGCCTCAGAGAATAATCTTGAAGCCCCCAGTTATTGGGGGTTATCTCAAAGCCATAAGGAAACAAATCTTGGATAAAGAGAATTTAGTAAATTTCCTAAAAGGTTAGCAGTGAAATGACCTGTCATTCCAGGAGACTGCCCTTAAGAAGTATTTTAGACAGTAGGGAAGAGCCCTTCTAGGCCCGATGATCTAAATTAACATACATCACTTGAAGCAAATGCAGTATGTGAAATTTCCTACACACAAGAAAATGGGTGGGGACAATACCACGATAAAAGGAGTCTCAGAGCCCTTAAATGGTAGACTAAGAATTCAGAAAAGATGTGTTGCCTCCTATCCCCCCTTTTTTTCTTAACAAATGAGGCCATAAAGCTAAATGATGCCTTTAGGTATTCAGATTAGAATTTCAAATATGGATGATCTGATTTACACATTTTTTTCAGATATACAGTGATTGCATTTTGCTGACTTTTAAGGACACCTCTATTTGATAAAGAGAGATAGGCCCCGCACCCCTAAATCAGAGTCCACGAAGGAGCCACAGGCACTCCAAAAAGCCACTGAGCAACCGCCACTGCCCCAAGGAGAACGAGAACCGCTCTGGGCAAACAGCTCCGCACAGAGTCAGGCTGCCTCCAAGGACCACACACCCACCAGCCTCTGCGGGACACGGAGCACCTGACCCACTCCCAGCCCCCCCATCTGGCACTAGAGGAAAGGGAGGGGCTTTGTGAGTGAGGGGATTGGTCCAAGGTCACATAATTGGGGGCAGAACTTGAACTACAAAGCTCAGGTCATCTGACTTCAACCCAATGCGCTCAAAGCCGCACGATAAAATCTTAAAAGCTTGAGCTGTTGGAATTCTAGCTGTGACATTATAGCCCTGTGACTGCAGGCAAGTTTCTCTGCCTATAAAAGGGGGACAGTAAACCCTCCTTGGGTGGTTGTGAGGATTACATGAAAATCCGTAAGGAGAGCCTAGCCCGTGGCAGCTCCTCTCCCCGACCCACGACGACGCTAATTACAAGACGCAGAGGCCAAGTCTCAGGGCTGGTGTTGCACAACTCACTCTCATCACCCCAAACCACAGCCCAAAGGCCTCCGGAGCCCCATCTGGAATTATGAGTGATGAAGTGGAATTTGGGGAACCATTCGGACACTAACCCACACGTAATGACAGATATGAGCAGGTCAGATTTCAACTACTTCATCCCCTCCGCCCTCCAGGGCTGCTCCACCCTCTGTCCCATTCCCCACCCCCCCACCCTCCCCACTCTCCCCCCACCCCCCCTTCAGCTCTCCCACTGCAGAAAGACATAGGAGCAGCTCTCCTGCCCGGTTACCTGGGGGCAGGGGGCACCTTCACCTCCCTCACCCACCACCCTCCCCCCAGTCTGCCCCTAGGCTCACATGTACCTCCCTCTCCACCATGAGAAGCTAGGAAAATATGACGAGTGTCTATAAATGCAGTTTCCCCCCCTAACTTCCTCCCCACCCAGAGGGAGAGGAATGACAGGAGAAAACAGCCCCAGGATCCCAGAGCCTTGATCCAGAGTGATGGCTCAGTGTCCACTCCAATTGCTGGACCTGGGAGATTCATGGTGACAGCTCGCTGCCAGGATGGCAGCCCCAGGCAGAAACTCCCTGCTCAAGGAAAAATGTACCAGCATGTCTGAGCTGGAGACCTCGGCAGCCAGTCATCTGGTGGGGAACGCCAAGAAACAAACAGTACCCGAGGCGGGGCAGGGTGTCAAAGCCTAGGCAAGCAGTCTCTCCCTGACAGGGCCAGTCTTGACCTCCAGGGAACCAATAAGAGGATCCACCTTCATAAAGCTTCTCTGGGCTGCAGTCTGTCCGTGGCCTGCCCCCTCTCTGAATCCTTGCACACCCATCCTGCTCCAGCTGTGATGCACATCACACTCTCCCGGGGAGCATGTTTGCAAAAGGCCCAGGCTCAGACCTCACCCAAAAAACACTGAATCATAGTAAAATGGAACATGGTCAGAACATGCACATTTTTCAGATGTTCCTAAGGGATCCCTATACAGGCCCAAGTCTGAGAACAACTGCTCTACATGACAAAATCTAGCCCTTCGTTCTAGATCGGCATATACTTTTCTGCAAGGTTAAGTCTCTTCTTACCAGATTTTAAGCACATTGAGGACATGAGTTGAATCTTATTCCTCTCTATAGCAGGCTCCTCAATTTTTATTTATTTGTTATTTTTTAAAGATCTATTTATTTTAAGAGAGAGAGAGAGACAGCATGTGTGCACGAGTCGGGGTGGGGGAACAGAGGGAGAAGGAGAGAGAATCCCAAGCAGACTCCCTGCTGAGCACAGAGCCCAAAGCAGGGATCTACCCCAGGACCCTGAGATCATGACTGGAGCAGAAATCAGGAGTCGGACATTTAACCGACCAAGCCACCCAGGCAATTTTTAAGCAAAAACGCTAGTTGCACAGTGGTTAAGTTCCCAGACCAGTCCCAAAAATCCTGCTACACTCAGTACTGAAGACCTCCCGTCCACCACTGGCAAACCACCTTTCTTTGGAAAGATTTGTTCATGTTTTAAACTGGGCTGTCACTTGAGTTTACAGTTACCATGACCTCAGGCAGGGTTCCTGAAGGACAGGAATCGGGTGGAGGGGCATAAAAGGACCTAGCCCCAGCAAGACAAGAGAGTCAAGGGCTTGGGGAGAGGCCTGGGACGCCTCCGACATGAGAACTTCTGAGCAGATGCTGAGGGAAGGCAAGGCTGGCCGGCGGGAAGGCTGCTTATGGGAACCACCTGCAGATATTTTCACACGAACTCGTATCCACGCCTCCCTCCCGGGGCTCTAACTGATCCGGGACAGGGCCCAGGCATCTGCATGTTTTTCAAGCGTCCCAGTGATTCCAGGGTGCTGCCCATTTTGAGGACCCCTGCTGCACGCTTGGGCTGGTCCTGCTGACTCTGCACAGAGATGCCAGCTGGTAAGAAAGCCACGCCCAGCGGCAGCCCACAGGGTGACCTTGGCTGCTGCAGCAGCAGTAAACAGGGAGGAAGGGATGGGCAGGCCCGAGGGCAGGCAGAGGGAAAGGGGATTCCAGTGCCATGCGTGGCCTGCAGCCATTGGATGTGAGGACGTCTGTAACTCAGGAGCATTCTCAATTTTCTGAAACAATGCAGGGCACAGGGCAGGTTCCCATTCTTTTATGAAGACACTGCCAACACCTTGCTTTTTGCTCATGTGTTCTTCTGCACCAAGGGCCTCTAAGAAGCTCCCGCTCCCCATGAGGGGCAAGCGTAGGGTTTATGCTTTTCCAGCACCAAGGAAGGAGCCAAGAGGCCCACACAGAGATGTGACAGACCTCCCGTAGTAAGCCTTTTTCCAGAAGCCACATTATCTCTTGTCGAAATAGAAAATTTTACCCTAGGAATGTCTCCTACTCCCTTTTCCGTCTTCTAATGAGAGTAATGAGGAGCACAGAAATGACTAACTACAGAGTCATAAATTCACAGAGCAACAACACTAAAGGGTTCTGGTGATCCCTTATCATTTGCCACAGGAGTCCTCTAAGACTCAAGGTGGGGAAATGACTTCCTCAAGAAGCTGAATAAAGACAGAGCTTGTAACTCCCACCATCAAATCTAGAGCTTCAGCAAAGCACAGTTTGAGGAAGGAAAAAGGAAACTGATGTCTATTTAGAGGCAATTTTGCACCAGGCCAGGCTGCTAGGTACTCCTGCACATTGTCACTTAATCCTAACAATCCCATTTTACAGATGAAGAAAGTTAACAACTGAGCAGGTGAAGCAGCTTGCCCAAAGTCACACAGGCAGTGAGCAGTCAAGCCAGTATTCAAACCCAACCCCTTCCTGATTCTCCAATCTCACACGCTTTCCCTCTACGCCATGCCACCTCCCGGGAGACAATCCTTCAAGTGTACAAGGACCTGCTCATTATCTAAGAGTTGATTATCAATGAAAGGTAAATACAAGAGCAGGACCGGCAGGGTTACACCGGAGGAGGCCCTCCACAGTTGCCCAAGCTGGGAAGGGCAGGCACTGGTCAAACTGGCTCTTGGGTGCCGAACTCCAAAAGACCAGAGATTTGGAGTGGAAGGGGG